ACATTCCTGGTCCTCAGAATTTCAGGTAGAGATACTCAGCCTGTCATCCAGCTTCCCTTGCTACAGGTGTCAGGGAGAGGATTCCCTTCCTGAATCACCTCTGAGGTACTTGCTTCTCTACCCTTCACAGTCAGTGGCTGATTACTTCTGGTGGAAATCCTAGCTTTCTCTCTCAGTTTAACCATCTGCTTCAGACACCAAGGATTCCCCACTTCAGGGTATACGAATAGTGCCAGACCCAAAACACACTCTTTTCATACCTTCAGTTTCCTAAACTCTTACAACTAATGAACTTTAATAATGTCATCAATGATAATGAGAAGAAAGGGAGGAAGTCCTGCCTCACCCCAAGGAAAAAAGTTACCTGCGTACATCTGTCCACTGGGAAGCTCGCAGGAAGGGTCACCCCCCGGGTTATACATATACCTTACAAGAACAACCAAGAAAAGCCAACTGCAGGTAGAGGCAACTCCCACCTCTTAAAATGCCTGCCGGCTCAGGCTCACACTAGCTGTGCAGACACTTTTCCTGACCCAGCTGTAGAGCCAAGTCATCTTCTGATGATCCTGTATCAGAGCCATGTGTCTGGGAAGTGTTCCTCTGGCACACGGCTTCTTGGGTCATCAGGAAGGAATCTGGATGATAACTAGAGGAAACAGATTAATAATAAAAAAGAAGCCCTGAGCACCACTGTGGACTTAGAAAGCTGTAATGCCTAAGGCAAGTGGTTTACAGTCTGATCCTGCGTGACTGAGAGCTCCTCGGTTGGCGGCCAGCGACCGTGGACTGGAGGAACGGACCCCTCCTTGACGGGTACCGGGGGAAGGAGGAGCCTCAGATGCCCACAGAAAGGCTCTTTCTTCTGGGAGCAAGATCACATTCATCTGCTTTGGCAAGGGCTCACTTTAGAAATAAAAGTGAACCAGGAAATGGGATCGAAAACAGCAATTAATAGCCAGGGATAGCGGCATATGTCTGTAATCCCTGAACTCTAGAAGGCTGAGGCAAGAGGATCTCAAGTTTGAGCCCAGCCTGGGTGATTAGCAATTTAGCAAGACTCTGCTCAAAACTAAAAAAAATTAAAAAGGGCTGGGGAAGTAGCTCGGTGTGAAAGCCCTGGGTTCGGTCTCCAGTACCACGCACACACGCCCCCGAGCGTGCACACATGCCATGAAAAGGTTGATGATGACAGTGGTGAGGAGAGGTGGGCGCCTTGTATGGAACCCTCAGAAAGCCCACGTGTTACTGACAGAGCCTCCTGCTCCCCTCCTGAGTCTTGCAGCACTGGGACAGCTCTCCTTTGAGACAAAGCAAGCGATAATCCATTGAGTTAGCTTGCTCGACGTCTCAGTGCTAGAAAGTGGCAGAGCTGGGGTTTGTTGTGTTTACAGGATTGAGTTACAGTGACTCACGAAACCCACGCCACCTTGCACAGGCAGAGATGCACATTCTGCAGTTTGCCCCCACAGCGGAAGCTTCTGCACAGAAGGCAGCCTGTCTCCGTGTGCTGTCCTCAGAGGGACAGGCTGGCAGCAGAGGAGTGTGGAAGGTGGACGCCCCCAAAGGAGAAGAAAGCGGGGAAGTCCTGCCTCACCCCAAGGAGAAAAGTTACCCGAAGCCTTCAATTTCAGAACCGTTTCTGATGATCTTGTCACACCTCAGAAACTTATTCATAGCCAGCTAACTCTTGATGCACAGACTAGCCGGGGAATCACTTAAAAGTCAAGGAAAGATGAACCACCAGTGATTACAAAGTACCGATCCATTCCTCCTCCTGACCCATGGATTTTACCCTCCTCTGCCTGGTCATTTCAGGACCCCAACTGTGGAAACGCCATCCTCAACAACCATAAAAAAAATCATTCACATTTACAAATACAAACAAAGAATATGGCTAAGCTCTTGGCATTTCTCAGACTGGAAATCTGGTGGTTTTGTCCCTGGATTCCATCTCAGCCAAGCTATAACTTTGAGAGGATTAATGTTTGATTTACACAGAAAGATTGCCCAGCCATGTCCAAACAGAAATTAGTAACTACTGTACCTACCTTGCTACTGGTTTGTTGTCTCACTAATCTAAAAATGTAAGGAAAAGGAACCAGAGGAGGAAATTTTTTTTTTCAGCATTGCAAACTAACCTATTCCTCCTCCCCTTTTGGTAAAGAAATCTTTAAGTCAGATGCATTCTTGGAGCGAATTCTCAAAAAACACTCAGCCCACAAAAATTCTGTTCATCCCACAAAATCTGCCTCGGTCCTGCATGGATTTGCTCACACCGGCTTCTCCGCTTCGAGCCCAGCAGCAGTTTGCCTTTAATACCAGTGGGTTAGGATGACACAGACACTGCAACACTGGGGCACAACACATGCCACGGCTCCCCCGACAGGCGCTCTGATCTGAAGTCATCATGAAAGGGACAGAACAGAGGTGGTTCACATTTATTTAGTTGAACTGCATTAAGTTCCTCAGCTGACTCTTTCCAAGTTTGCTTTGGCTTATTTATTTTTATTTGTTTAACTTATTATAGTTACTGTCTAGTACCTTTTTTTTTAGTTTTCTTATTTACATTCTGAAAACAAACACTCCCCGGTATTTATTATGATGATTTACTATCTGCGTGGCATAGTTTTTAAAAAATAAAATGAACCATAGGAAGGGAAAAAAATGTAAACCAAGTCTTTTGAAATGTTTCCTATTTCAAAACAGGGAGGGGTGAAACTGCATCTTGCTCCTAGAATGAGGCTCCCACCTGCTGCAGGTGACCAAGCGGGAGGCCAGGGCTTCACCTGCAACTCAGTTGTGAAGCATAGTGTGACTATTCCCGGTTCCAGGCAATACATGCTGTGCTAGTATCAGGTGATTTGGATTCTCAGCCTTGTAGCATAATGTTAGGCCTTCCCCATGGCAGGAAATTCTGCTAAGTCCTACCTCATCAGAGGGGGAAAAGGTTTTTCTAACAGAAGGAAGAAAATATGATGATGTCTTTTCTTCTTAACCTGGCCAGGAGGTGGGGAGACAGCATGTCTACTGTAGCAAAAATATTGTTGGTCTTTACACCAAATTTCTTTACTATGCCAGTGGATAAGTTAGTCCTGGAAGGGCAACTGTGATTAGGTCACTGGATCTACAAGTATAGAAATGCTCCAAAGCCAGGCATGGTAGTGCACACCTAATCCCAGCACTTGGGAGGCTGAGACAGGAGGGGCACCGTGAGTTCGAGGACAACCTGAACTACATAGCAAGACCTTGTTCCAAAGAAAGAAAGAAAGAAATGAAAGAAAGAAAGAAAGAAAGAAAGAAAGAAAGAAAGAAAGAAACAGAAAGGAAGAAAGGAAGAAAGAGAAAAGGAAAGAAAAGAAAAGAAAAAAGAAAAGCAGGGCTCCAAGAAGTTTTATTACTTGGAGGTATTTATTTACTTGTTTATTTATTTATTTATTTTGGTTTTTCTCCGGTACCGGGAACCGAACTCACGACCTTGCGCTTGCCAGGCAGGCGCTTTTGCCACTGAGCTAAATCCCCAGCCCCACTTGGAGGTATTTAAAACCAGTTGAAATCCTGGTAGCACATAACACCCTTGGGTTTGTTCAGTCCTAGCACTAAAGGAGAAAGATTTGGTACCAGATTTTAGTTTAATTTTGCTACAAAAATGGAGACGTTATTTTCTATTTTCTTTTTTTTTTTTTGGTTTTTCTCCGGTACCGGGAACCGAACTCACGACCTTGCGCTTGCCAGGCAGGCGCTTTGCCGCTGAGCTAAATCCCCAGCCCCTGGAGACGTTATTTTCATTGGTTATTTTATTTTCATTGTTTTGCATTTAGGGGTTGACATTTTCCTCTAAAGCAAAATGCAATTCAACTAACATTAAGTGCCAGATACTGGAAAATTCCAAAGATATGAGGTGGTCTGTGCTTTTGAGTTCTCGTGACCACCAGGAGGAACAGGTTGAAAAACAAATCCAAATAACTACAGTAGAATAGAAAAAACATGCATAAGTCAGGTATGTACCCTGGCTTGTTAATATACGGCTGTCCTTTACTCACAGGGAGTGAAAATGGCAAACAGTACTGCCAGTGTAACCTACCTGTTACTGTATTTTCTCCAGCACATACATACCAGTGACAAGTTAGGTCTGTATATAAATAAATAATGAATTGGGCACAGGAAAAGATTAACAGCAACAGAAGAGAAGAAGTATAACAATACACTTTAGTAAAATTACCCACATCGCCAGTCATGCACTTTGGGACCATTACTAAGTAAAAGAAGCGTTGCTTGAACACAAGTCTGCAGTACTGTCACAATGGATCTGGCCGTGGAAACGGACTCACTGGACGGACACACACAGCATGCATGCGCTCGATGATCGGCAGACAGACGCAGGCGAAGTAAGAGTGTGTCATGCTGCTCAGAGAGGTGGTGAAGTTCAAAACTTACGAATCTCTTATTGCTGGGCTCTTCCATTTCATATTTTTGGATCAACATTGACCATCGGTAACCGGAAACTAAACCGCAGATGTGGGGGATCACCACACAGTGCTTCTTCAGCAATTCATTCAGCCTGGAGAAGAGGAGTAAGGCAGGGGAAAATAAGAGATGTCACGTGATCGGCCGGACTGACCAAGCAGAGGGAACGGCAGGTGGAAGTCTGGGACCAGGAGGTACTGAGGGACAGAGCTGGGTGATAAGAGAAGGAACTACGAGGAGAGGAAGACCGGAAAGAGGAGTTAACATGGTGCGTTAGGCGCACACCTCCCCTGAGAAGGTACAACTGTTGTGTAAATTCTTGACAAAATGCCTCAGTGCGTTTACTGTTTGATTCTATTAAGGAAGTGACTGACCTGGCATTCGAGCCAAGGGAAATGAGAATGGTACCTGGTCTTTATAATTGGTAACTGATATTATGAGGTGGCTGGGATTACGTCATGTGGCACACAGTTGAGAATAAAGCCTAATGACTAAAGCTAGTCATAAAACAAAAACAAAGATTGTTTTCTCTCTAGGCTTGTTTGAGACGACAGGAGTACAGAAGAGACTTGAATGAGAAGAAACGAGATCAGTTTGGGGTCCAAGAGACAAGTTCTGAGAGATCCCTGCTTTTAAGCAATGTATCTCCCAAACAGGTACGGAGAATAATTCTGGGAGATGCTGGGAGATAGTCTCCTACTGCAGGGGGTGGGGGAGACACAGGCAGGGACAGGCGGGGACAGCCAGAGGACAGATTGACCTAGAAAAACACCATCTCAGAAAGGAAGTGTTGCAGACTCCTAAAGGTGAAGGCAGAGAGAAGCCGGGAAAGGATGAGCCTCCCTGCTTGGCCTTGGTCTTCTTTCCTGAGGCCAAATGGCCTGACACAACTAGCCAACGGGGTATCATCCCGATCAGAAGTGCTGGACCACTTGGATTGTAACAGTGGGAGGCATTAGGCCTTGTCCAGCACCCCATCACGTTTGTGGTTCATGATCTAACCCACTGCAGGTCTACTTTTTATTTCAAATAAAGGAAGAAAGATAAACATGGTGATAACTGCACCGTGTAAGAACTGGCGATTGTTTAAATTTTTATGTAGGATGATGACAACAAATAAGACCAATAGAATATTATAGCGATATAATCTTTATAATAATAGCAGCCATAGTAATTGCCAATATTTGATTGCTTACAGCATTCCAAGCACTGTGCTAGGTACTTTATACATACTAGAATTTAATGCTTATAAATGTATATGTATATACACTTAGTTGCATTTGTATCTACTTAATATATTCTACTGTGTATCACGTATATACTACAGATGAGAAAACTGGGCCTTAAGAAGTTAAGAAACTTTACCTAAGATTTCACAGCGAGTGTGTGGTGATTCCATTCCATCCAGACTAAACACAGAGAAGGTGCTCTGAACTGCCGAGCTATCCAATCATATTTCATGCTTAACGTCTTATTTAAGGATTTTACTTATCCTATGTAAGAGCTAAATACCACAAACTGCACTCAAGCCTGTCTGTTATCATGGTGAATTGATTTAAGATGAATAATATGCCTTTTATGAATTCTTATTTAATATTTCATGTCTAAAATAGACTCTAGAGGAGAGACACTCTCTTTCCTCTCAGTGGCATGGATCCCTCAGATAGATCTCGGGTACCAAATATTAATCAAATTCTTGTTGAGATTTCTTCTTTAATCTAGGATGTTCGCATTGTGGTTATTTAACGTTCAAAGGACACCTTTAAAACATCAGTGATTGATGTTTATGGATGTAAATGTATCCCTGGGAGAGATATATACTCTCTGCTAAGGGATATAAAAATCACACAATAAAATAGCCCACCTAGAGTCTGAAGGTGAAAGAACCCATCTCACAATACTGGCAGCTCCAGGAAGAATGTGTTTCCTGGATCTTTTCCTGTTAGTCAAGGACTAAATATAGTGACTGCTGCTGATTAAACTTAGGCAGTGAGATTAATCTAAAAATTAAATCTAGTTTGGCTAGAATGACGTGTTTTTAGCAGTAAGATAAATTCTTACATTTTTCCACTTAGAAATAAAATCAAGAACAGATAAAATGTAATGTCATTTAAGTCAAACAGTAGTGTATATCAATCTTCCTAGGTTGGAATTACTAAACAAATGGGGGCTGAGAGCTTTGGTTTCCATGCAGATTCACATGCATAGGCGCGGCCCTTTTGCATGGCGGCACGCACGCATTTAGGGTGTTCAGGATGTAACCGACCGTTAATCCTGATAGGTCAGCTTCTTTGCATTAAGAAACACCTGGCAGAGTAAAACATCCTCCTGGTGGGTCCTGGAAACATGGCCGTGGGTGCTGCACGTGGTCCCTCTCCTGTTCTTCTCTGGCGCCGTTACCCTGCTCTGCTCCTGGCCCCCATGAAGGAAGCAGCCTTGCTCTGCCACACCCTTCTGCCATGATTTTCCTACCTTTGAGTCAGCTGACCATGGACTGAACTCCACAAACCATGCGCTACATGTACCCTCGTCTCTTTTAAGTTGTAGGTGTTGGGTACGGGGACGCAGCGATGGGAAAACTAAAATATGGACTTACACCAGTTTGTGGGGACAAACTGGTGTCAGAGTCCCATGGTTTTCTTCTTCCCGCTATAAAAATTATATACTTTCAGTCATCATTGCAAAAGCACTCAGACCACTTCCAAACAAGGACCTGACTGTACATATAAAACTATATGAAATGGCTTCCATAATCATAGGTTACTTAGATCTTATTTTCTAAGAATTTTATTATTCATTTACAACCAATACAAAACAATAACAAAAATAGCATAGAATTGAAAATGTCTGTCTTTCTTTCTTTCTTTCCTTCTTTCTTCCTTCCTTTCTTCTTTTTTTCTTTCTGTCTTCCTTTCTTTGTTTTTTCTTTCTTCCTTTCTTTCTCTCCTTCCTCCTCTCCCTTCCCCCCCCCATCTCTCTTTCTTTTTTATTTTTGGAGACAGGGTCTCACTTTGTAGTGTAGGCTGGCGTTGAACCCACTATGTAGCCTTGGCTGGCCTTGAACTCCCAGTGATCCTCCTGCCTCTGTGTCCAAGTGCTGAGATTAATCGTGTGCCACCACTTGAAAATTTCTGTCTGAAGTACAATGACAATTTTCGTGTTTTCACAGTGCCACTGTACCTTAGTGTGGCAGAGAACATGAAATACTGCTTACGTAACCTCAATCCTTTCTAAGTAATAATATACTGAGGGATTGGGCCTTAATTATACAAGTGTCTTTAAGGCCTCATAGTCACATCAAGAAGAGAGACAAAATCAGAATTTTCCACAGTGAAATTTACTTCTGTAAAAAATTTTTTGCTTCTTTTTACTCTTAGCATTATAGATCTTCTCTGGGGACACTGAAGGACTTGCCTCTGGACACAAAAGCAGAGGAAGGGCAGGTTGAGAGAGGAGGTAGCATTGAAAGCATCAGCCCAGCAATCGTCTCACTGACGTGTGCACAGTCCCCACCCCAAGGGGTAGAATCTTCTGACTTTTGCTTTGTAGGAATAAAGCCAGCGATTCCATGTGACACTTCAGCCAGATCCTCCCCCAACCATAACAGCAACAAAAATCCCCACACAACTTCAATCTTTCTTGGGGAGACCAGGGAAGGAAGGAAGGAAGGAAGGAAGGAAGGAAGGAAGGAAGGAAGGAAGGAAGGAAGAAGTTGGTTTGGAGGTCCCCTCCCGGCTTTGGACCTTTAACAAAATTTCTGCGGAAATCTGGTTGTTTTTACATCTTTCAAGCCTGCTGCTGCCTCCATGCTTGAGGGAATGCACAATATATGAAACGAACCTCTTCCCACAGGGTACACAATGCCAGAGAGGTCCTGGACTTAGTCTCCCAGAGACCATAAAATGAGAAATAAGAAATAAGAAACAAGAAAGCTAGCATCTCCCAAAGGAGATTCGGGCCAGACAGATTCAATTTCCAAAGTTCGGGGTATTGACTGACACATTGGGCACTTGAGTTGTGAAACATTCGGTGGGTCAGAAAGCGGTGGGGGGAAGACACAGCTCAGCGAGACGGAGTCAAGCCAGCCAAAGCCGCCTCCCTGGGTGAAAATCGTCTGAGTAACTTTAATCCAGACATTGCTATGGCTGAAAACTCTAAGCAACATTTTGCCTGTGACTTGTGGAGACAGGTTCATTCTTGGATGGAGTGGCTAGTATAAAACTCAATTGCTTCAACTATGGAAATTTTTCCACTGCTCTATCACTTTGTGAATCATGCCGTGACCAAATTTTGACACTTGTACTGCAATTTTCATCACTCGTTCATTTCTTAACCCAGCCTCACATTGTCACAATTCTGATGAGCCTGGGACAAGTAAGACATTTTTCATCAAGTAACGGCTCTGGTGTGAAGCTATCATTTCCAGACACCTGCCTAGACGTGGGCAGGTCCCCAAGCACAGCTGACCTGGTGCTGTTCCTTCATGGCACAGTCTCCTTGCTGCAACTAGTGGTCCTAACCACTGGGTTCACAGAGGTTGTGTTTATTCTAAACCCAAAATGAAGCAGTCCCTATGAAGCTTGTACCAAGATGTGCTTTAAAATGGTATCTCCTAAATATGTGCAAGTTTGTGGGTTGGCATAATAGAAAACATTAATCAAGACCAGCTCTGCCATCATTATAGGCAAAGTACTTTACCTCTGAACATTTCATCTTCCCGTCCAGGGGACCCTTGTTATTATGCTCACCGTATGAGGTCACTGTGAGCATAAGGGAGGTTCCTAAGTGACACGCTGACACTACATTGCATGCAGGCTGTCTGGGTGTCCAACTCCACTGGAAAATGATACTCTAACTAGTCTCAGTGGCAAAGTAACTTCCAGGGTTTATAACATCTTCTTTCGTCTCTGCCCCACCCCAGATCACCTTTCCAAAAGCCAACCTAAAATAGCAACTTAATTTTAGACCTTTCTCAGGGTTACACGCGAGCTTGAGAGCTGTTGAATCAGGTTAGAGTTCAATAGGGAAATAAGCAGCTCTGTATATCCAACTAGAACTTGGATGGTTTAGTAAACTAAAAAGCAAAGCAGGCTCTGGCTATAAGGAAAAAGCACCACTTCCTTCCTTCCTTCCTTCCTTCCTTCCTTCCTTCCTTCCTTCCTTCCCTGGTCTCCCCAAGACAATTACCTGCTGGCTTGAAGGAACCTGCTATGATTGACAGGGCACCAGGATATTGTATCTTCTCAAATCTTAACAGAGCAGGGACCAGAGCCCCAATTTCTCCTTAGAACATGATGAAGCTGATTAATTATCCCGGTATGCGGGGGCCAGCAAGCATGTCTGAAGAAGCACAACATGAGCCCTCTCATCTTCCAAGATCCTGTGTCCTTGCTGGAAGGAACACTGTTCCAGGTGCACCAACTTCCAGGACCAAGGACACGTTGTCCCTGCAGTTCCTTCATTAGACAGGAAGGTGCGGGTCAGCTCTCAGCTTTCCAAGAGCACCATTTATTCTGCTGATAGAGATAGAATTATTATCCTTTCACCCTCAGCAGCCGAGCTACTAAATATTTAGATTGCAGGTCACAAGGACCCAACGTTACCCTGGAAGGAGATGAAGGCAGTTAACCTGCTAGCAAAAAGCGGCTGCTTAGGC